TGGGCATCTTCAAAGCTTCAAACTTGATCTTCCAAGCCTCTTTTTTATTCAAAATTAAAACCCTAATTCTACCCAAAACCTAGAATTACAATAATTCTAATCCCGAATTAAATTACAAATAATATAATTTGAACGAATTTAATGCGATCCATGGAAGCAAATTATTAACGACCAAATCCATCATCCATACATTCATCATCATGAATCAAATATAAACATCCATAAATGCAAGTGCCTACCCATCACATACATGCATAATTATTATTTTTTTTAGTATCAAATAATCAGAGCATAAATTAATATCGTATATAGACCGCTCTGATACCAATTGTTGGTCTCCGAATCGAATCCGGATGCGGAAGCGTGGCGGGGGGAGGATCGTGTATAACAAAAATTTTCATAAAACCTTTGAGATATTCTATAGATTATATTAATTTATGCATGAATAAATTAATCTCATTAATTCATTTATTAAGAACTCAATTAGGAAAAATACCTGGAGGCCGACTCGGATGATAACTTAAGTTCTTTGACCTCGAATAATCCTTGCTCCAAAGCTTTGTGTTTAGAAAACCAATGTCTTCCACGTCAATTCCTAGAATCCACGAAGACGTGTGTGTGGGCACACATGAGACAAAACGGGTTACAATAAACACTCGAATTTCCACAAACACCAACGCATGCACGATGTGAAATTTTTAGGAAAATATTTTTCCTTCACTCTATAGAGAAATTTCGGCCACCTTTAAAATTAGGGCAAAAATTCATCACGAAAATTGTCTACCATTCTCTTATTTATAGAGTAGAAGTCAAACTTCTAGAAGAAATCCAATCTCTATCTCTAAGATAAAGCTTGTTAATTATCTCCTATTCAAACTTTAAACAAAATCTCCTACTCCCTTATCCCTTAGTGTGGCCGGCCAAGATAGGGATTCTCATCCCTGTGTGGCGCCAATATCAGATAGGGAAGAAAGAGAATATCATCCTTTATCTTGTAGTCCAATTTTGATTCAAATTAAAATTTCAATTTAAGTCAAACTTAAATTAATTTGAATTCTAAATTGAACAACTTATCAAATAAGTTTAAATGGATAAATCTAGATGTGTTCAAATTCAAATTTAAACAATCACATTATTTAAATAATAATTAATTCTCAATTAATTATTTTCGAGTGTTTAATTTTAGAATTCCGTAATTCTAAAATTCCCATTTTACCCTATGTGTCTGGTAGAATTACTAGGACGACGCGGGGACTAATGGACCTATAATCCCGAGCTCTAATAAAATTAATAATCAATTAAACACTTTAATTAATTAATTAATTCTATTAATTCCAATAGTTACTCCACTATAAACTTGGAATTGCACTCTCGAAATTATAGACATAAATTACTTCTAAACTCTGAAGTGTCCATTTGATATAGTCATTGCATATAGATCAATCCTCCATAAATAATTCATAATTAGAGCTAGGTAAAATCCGTTAACCTCTCTAATTACTTCTTTATCCTTAAGTACCAGAGATTCTCTAATGGACAGTGATTCATAAAACACATTCATGAATCGGAGCTCCTACTGGTCCAAGTACCGAATCAACCCTCAAGAGAATTATTTATCTACTTCTTTCTTAAGAAGGAATGGATTCCATCTCGTGTAATAACATTTCCGGCTACCTAATTCATGATGTCTTCAAAATACAAGGAATAAGATTCAGGATCTCAAAATCCGTACTGAGTAAATCAAAAGATACAAATCCATAAATAGGAGTCTGTTAAGAACTCAGGATTAATATCATTCTATATATGACCATTCTATATATTCATAAATATATGCACATAAAATAATGAATAAACTCTTTTATTAAATAAATAATAAATATCCTATTACATTTTATGTTTCTAGGACACCATTCACAACTGTTACAGCTTAAATTAATTATTTATCCTAATACATACAATCTAAATTTTGATGTCTCTAAAATTTTTAAGGAATCTTGACGGCAAAATAGTTATTTTACTCCACTAATAAGACAAGTAATTTCAACCGTTAAATTAGTTTTTTACGGTTAGAACTATACATATTCGTATTAAAATTTACTGTGCGATACACATATTTGTTCTTACTAAAAATTTAATATTTTAAAAAAATAATCTAACGGTAAAAACACTTGCCCTACCCGTGAAGCATAGACCTCGTTCATTTTACCGATCTGAGTTCAGTTTTAGATTTTTACAATTAAAAACTTTCAGAAAATGTAACATATAACTTTTTTTACTACAATTAAAAGCTCTAAAAAAATATCACATCTTAATTTGAATTAAAAACTTAAATCTGCGAAACTGACTAGGCCACTTGATTAAGAGTACCAAATTTTGATGTCTCTAACGCTTTCATTTGATTTGTGATTTTGCTTTTTTTTTTCTTTTTGATGTGCTCTTTTTCGTACATAGAATGATCGCGACAATACTATTTTTTTCCCGTTGGAAGATAAGAGCCCCGTTAATTTCACTGATTCGAGTTTTGTTACAGTAAGGCCTAGTTCATTTCACCGATTCAAATTTTCAGTTCTAAATTTTTACAGTAAAAAACTCTCATAAAATGTCACATTTAACTTTTTCTGCTACAGTGAAAAGCTCTAAAAAAATGTCACATCTCAGCTCAAATTAAAAATTCAAATCCGCGAAGTGAACGAGGTCTAAAAAACTCTCATAAACAATCACATCTAACTTTTTTGTTACATTAAAAAATTCTCATAAAAAACCACACCTCAACTCGAATTAAAAACTCGAATAAACGAACTAAACGGACCCTAGGAGAATTTTTTCTTTATTTTTTTTCTCTCTCTCAAAGATTACGACAACACGATGATAGCAACCAACATTCACTTGCCCCAACTGTATTCATCTATAGCTGCAGCTTGAAGGAAGAACGTAGACTCGTTCATTTCATTGATATGAATTTAAAATTTAAATTTTGTTACAGTAAAAAAATATAAAAAACAGTCACATTTAACATTTTTATTACAGTAAAAAGCTCTCACGTATAGTCATATTTCAATTCAAATTAAAAACTCGAATCAGTAAACTAAACGAGCTATAATGTTTCACTTGCCCCGTGGGAGAACAATGTCATACATGGCACGTTTCTATTGGCTATTTGAGAACAAAGCAGAGCATGACAACGATCATTGTCGGCACAAAAAGAATTATAACGAACAAGAGTAACACCCGATCAACCCGACCCAGCCTCGACTTCTCTCTCTCCTCTCCCTCTCTCCCTCTCTCTAGCACTGCAAAACCATCTCTCTTTCTCCCTCTTCGCGCTGTAAAGCAAAGAGATTCTTCCATGGCGAAGAGGAAGCGAGAGAAGGACGAGAACCAATCAGAAGACAGAGAAGAAGAAGAAGAAGAAGAAGAAAAGAATGGTCAGAGGGACCCACTGGAGTGGATGGGTACGGACATAATGTCAATGGTACTGAACAACCTCGACGCACACAGCTTGGCACTTTCTCGCCTTGTCTCCCGACGCTGGCTCGCCATCGCCTCCAGCGATCGCCTCTGGGCCTCCAAGGTTTTCACTTTTCACGCTCTTTATATTTCTTTCTTTCTCTTTCGAACAAGAAGAAAACAAAAACGAGAAATTGTTTGAATTTTACAATTTTCTTTTTTTGTGGTTTTCGTTTTGCTGAATTTTAGGTTGGAACTTGCAATTCGTTTATTTTTTCTACCATTTTGAATTAGCAATTGTTAATGAATGAGTGAGAATGACGAGAAACAAGAAATTTAGCTAGAGACGAACAGTACGGAAATCACATAGCAAATTCGGAAGTTTTGTATTCTCTGCTAGAAGCTTTGACTAAAATGTCATTGTGTGGTTGATTGAACTTTTTTTTTTAATCAAAGTTTATTACTAGAACGAATCTTATTCCAAATATTTGGAATTGGAGTGTCAATAATTGATCCTTAGAAGGTGTTAGAAACAAAATGATCGTTCGCAAGGTTAAGCGTTTGGGACATTTAATATTGTAATTTAAGATTCATATGGTAGACATGTTGTTTCTTCCACAAAACTCCAGCAGGTTTTATGACCCTTTTCTTTGATGTTTGTATTTCTTGAGTTTGGATTGAATCTACTTATTTAGCACCACCAAATGTTTAAGTTGTGAAGCCTAATTAGTTGCCCTGGAGATCTATTTTCTTACACGGAGGATTTTGGTTTTCTCACATAGCGGAAAAACTGCAACCTCTGAAAGAGGAAATAGTCCCACGTTGAGGTGAACTTCTATAAATTATGCGTGTCGTATTACTTGATTTAATTTGTATTTTATTGCTCTCGGTTACCAAGAATTAGGGCGTCTAATTCTTTAACAGTATCAGTCTGTATGTGGATTTTTTTTAAGTGATTGAACAATGCTAATCATAACTTTTATGAGATGGAATGAGATACTAACTTAAAAGTTGTTTCCATTTTTAGTGTGAGGAATTGTGGCTTCAGAAAGCACACATACCTCGCTTGTCGCAGGGTCACGGGTTGACGAAGTTGGCGGCCTATTCCTTATCGGTCATGGATGGAAAGCGAGTAACTACAAATGCTTTCTTACTAGACTTCAATTTCTGTTCTCTTTTCCGTTCTCAGACACGAGCACTGTAGCACATGTACTTGGACACTGTCAAGTGTACACCTGATGCAAATCGATGGTTGATTAAATTCAAAACTTGTTTTTCAGAAACGCATTACGAAGTATGATCTCTGTGACCATGTTTGGGAGTTTCACTTTAACAAGGTTTGCAAGCTTCTCAGTACCAAGTGAATTAGTGTTTAGGGCCTTATCTTCTGTTCAACCAAGCATTGGTGTTTTACTTTTCACCATTGAATACCTACCATTAATATCCAATACTAGCCAGCTAAATTGAGTTTTAAGTACTTTTCAATGATGAAGATGCGGTCAATGTGAAAAAGATTTTCTTCTTTCACCTTCAGGCAGCTCCAGATTATTGGCGTAATCTTGATCCTTACTGGAAAGGTTGTGGCCCTCTTCCGCACCGGTACTTCCATCCCGACGGGAGCCTAACTGCAGACCCTGGTGATAAGACATGGGGTGGCCATGAAAGCTGTTATTGCATAGTTACTAGTTATGTTGGTGAAGAAAATATCAGGGAACACTACGTGAGGATAAACAGATGGCCAAGAATGTTGGTATACAGAAAGCAGGATTGGAGCTGGAAGATGTCCAACAAGCTGTATTGCTACTCGAGCATTCCTGATGCTCATAAACAAGGGGGAACTGGGCCACTCTTTTCAGCTTTTTAAATGTGGATATCCTCCAAACTGTACATTTTATTTTGAAGTGGTTCAGTATAAAAGGTGCTCTTATTGGTTGCAGTTTCTTTTCTTTTCTTTTTTTTTTTTTTGTTTGTTTTTTTTGTTTTATGCTTGTGAATATTGTATGTAATGGTGCTTGGAAGTGATTTTGTTTTATGTTTTATACTTGTAAATATTGTATCTAACGGTTGCTTGGAATTGATTTTGTTGGTATTTCTTGTTAGAGAGATTGTAATATGTCTTGATCAAGATCACAAGTTGTTTGAGTGTTAAAACATGAAAAATTCGTGTTAAAGGGACTTCAAAATGCACAGCGGATCAACTGCTTTGGTTCAGCCAAACTGGCTGCAGCCGAAATATTTTAGCTGCAGCCGAAATATTTTGGCTACAGCCGAAATGTTTGCAGGCCTTGGGTCCGTTTGCAGCTGCAGCGGAAAAACACTCGCTGCAGCGAAAATTCTGCAGAAAACAATGTTTTCATGAATTTATGTGATGTAAAACGTTTCGAACCATTACATCCATTGGTGATATGTTTTCATACATATCTGAATACCAATTAGCAATAGATATAACTATTATAATAGGTGTATTAATCCATGAAAAGATACTTTTATATTGAAAATGTACCTTTATGTGAATGATTGTAATGTCTAAAGATGATGTATTCATTAATGAAATAGCACCTCTGTCTTTATTAATTCTCCAAAAAATTTAGACTTTATTGAATGTTTTGAAACTCAATATTATTGTTAGATATTGTGTTTAAGAGTTTGTTGTATCTTGGAGGTAATTTGTCATCACAACTCATAAGTAAATTTTGAGAAGTGAGGACAAATAAAATCTTTAAAAAAAGTATTCCTATACGTCTCAAACTCTCTTATTTTCTGCTTTCTTTTCACCCTCTACACTTAAATTCCCCAACATTTTCTTTCTGTAAGGAATTGGTAAAGCCTATGCAGCTCGTAGACCAAAATGTATTTCTGCTCTTTTTGTGAAGTTTTTAGAATGTTCCACTCGTATGGTTGTTTTTTTGCTACGAATTTCGTACTACGTTTTCTGTATCCTGTATGTTATATCCCGTGCGCCGTCTCTACGTCTTTAGTAGTTATACGTCCAATGATTATTTTTGATTGAAGACACATCTATTTACCCTCCAATAGACACATGATACTGTTTGAAGCATCGTGGTCTGACGAAAAAAAATATTTTGTGGTAAAGAACATTTCTGAAATGTCGAAATTATCATCAAATTCTGCTAAATTATAACGTATGCATGTGTATACACATACACACATATAAATATGTTAACTTTATATGATAGTACAAAACGTATAGTATTTTGCACAAAATTCTACTTATATTTCCATCATAATAGAGAAAAATTATGTCGCTTTATTGTTGGAAAAGACTGATGTTTCATTGTTGAAGGGAAACAACGAGGCAAAGGGTGTTGTTGTGTGAAAAATTATGGATGACGCATAGAAGAACAACAGTGTGATACGTGGTCTTACTTTTCCTCAAAAGTCAATAACCCTCGACGCTGGGGACTCCCTTTCGTTCTACTGCAAAGGAAGCCCAACTTAGTGTTAGACAAATATAGTATGGATAATACAAAAGAGGAACAAGTTAAGGAAGAACAAAAACGAAATTCATACAATTGTAATTCAACCTTTTTACCAAAACTCGGAAATGAAAGTTGCAAGGATGTCGAGGCACGTGGATCACGTTTTCCTTAAAACAGATTCGTCCCCTCCGGTGAGTGCTTGAGGTTACGTTGGACGTCCGTCTCCCAGGATACAACGACAACGACGGTAACTCGATGCACTTTCGGAACCATCCGGCGAACTAGAACTCGGACCTTCCCTCTATCACCAAACCGAACTACAAGAACACAACGAACTAGAAAAGAAGAAGAAGAACTCGTGGGAGAAGAACAAAATATGTTTTTGTGCAAGTGTCCCTCTCCTTCATGTGAAGACGCCTTATATAGGCTATAGAAAATAGGTTATGAAACCAGGAATTAAAGGCCCTTAATCTCCATTTTAATTGTGCATAAAACGTTTCCTAAACCCAGCCACAATAGACATCCAGGTTCATGGAAAAACTGATTCAATAACCAGCCTTTATCATCACAATTAATCTCAGAATTAAGCATCCCATTAAGCCTTCTTTAATCTCCATTAAGCACAGCATTTGCTAAGGCCAAACGGTTAAAAGCTGGAAGGGCTGAAGCAAAAATAAAAAATCACAAAAGTAAGGTCGCACAGAGCGGGTTTTCCGGTCCGGCATTCGTGTCCGCAGGTCGCGGGCGCACATATTAGGCCCCAACCCGCCGGGATCGTGATTCGCACCCCCCCACCCCTGCACGTGAAAGAGCCTCTCTGGTATACATGCTTACCTAGGCTTCAAAGTGCAATCACTTATAAACACCACATTGACTTCACTCCTAGCCAATGTGGGACTTTTGTAATTTTCTTCTACATTTACCATTCCAAGTAACATACTTAGACCATCAATTTCTCATTCACCCAAAACCATTTTGAGTGTATGAATACTCGATTTCAATCTCCTCACGACGGAGAACGCAAATCCATCGAGACCCGTCCCAAAACCCTATTAGGCCCCATCCAAATATGGGCCTCAAAATGGGCCTTTAATATGGCTTAACAAGCCATTTTTCCAACAATCCCCCACATGAATGAAAAATTGACCCACGACAAGAAAAACACAAACTCGACACGGTGATAGAGTTCTGCGGTCGATGCCTGCAAAGGATAGGTAGGCGTTACCCTTTGAACCTTCCCTTGTGAGAATACAAAAACTTTACTGGCTGACCAGTAGACGCGATGTCTTTGAACTGTTCTGCCTTCATGTAAACGTTATTATATTTCACACAGACATCTTCCTGACACAGTTATGTTCTCATGGTTATGTTCGTTTCGGCCATGAACATCTACCTGGTTCTGCAAGAGTTTCTAAAGAATTGAGCCCTCACAATTCTCCTTTGAAGCGGCCCCACTTCTCTCTCACATAGGTGATTTCTTAATGAAGAGTAACCCGTATTACTCCGCTCGTATTCCTGACGTATCCGACGCATAAGAATCATTAAAAACCAATGTTTAACCTTTTTCTCGTACGGGTTTCACTGTTATCGTCATAGGAATTGGCTGGGGTTACCCCCACAGTGAACTCAACCGGTCTAGACAATTTAGTTGTCCCATTGAACCTAGATCTTAGGATCTCCAGTCAGCTAGGTTGGGTTTCCATTGCTTCAACCTATTTTTCCATGGGCTTCAATCCCATTCCTCTAGATGTTTTTTCAACTTGATCTCGATTCAGTCCTTTGGTCAGCGGATCCGCAATAGTATCTTTCGACCTTATATAGTCAACGACTATGACTCCTGTCGAGATCAATTGTCTAATGGTATTATGTCGACGACATATATGTCTAAACTTACCATTATACATTGTATTGTGTGCTCTACCAATAGCTGATTGACTATCGCTGTGTATGCAAATTGTCAATCCGGAATGTCCTCTAAGAAATGTCTAAGCCATTCAGCTTCTTCGCCACATTTATCCAAAGCAACAAACTCAGCTTCCATCGTGGATCTGGTTATTACCATTTGCTTAGAGGATTTCCATGAAATAGATGCATCACCCAAGGTGAATACATATCCATTGGTAGCCTTAGAGTCCTGTGTATCAGATATCCAACTCGCATCAGAGTATCCTTCTAAAACACCAGGCTCTCTTGTGAAATGCAATCCATATTCACGAGTATATCTTAAGTACCTCAGTACTCTCGCAATTGCTTTCCAGTGGTCATCTCCTGGGTTACTCGTGAATCTGCTCAATCTACTTACAGTGAAGGCAATATCTGGTCTTGTACAGCTCATTAAGTACATAAGACTGCCAATCACTCTAGCATACTCCACCTGGGATATGCTTTCCCCTCTATTTTTGGACAGATGTTAACTTATATCAATAGGAGTTCTGACTATACCAGAATTATCCTTATTAAACTTGTCAAGTATCTTATCCACGTAATGTGACTGAGTCAATATGAGACCATCAGGCACCCTTTGGATTTTGATCCCCAAGACCCCATCAGCCGGTCCCATATCTTTCATGTCAAACCTTGAGTTCAACATGTGTTTAGTAGATCTGACCATCCGATCATTACTACCTACAATTATTATGTCATCTACATACAAATAAAGCATGACATAACCATCGTCTGTTTTCTTGACATAAACACATTTGTCACACTCGTTGATTTTGAATCCATTTGACAACATAACATCGTCAAATTTCTTATGCCATTGCTTTGGTGCCTGTTTTAGTCCGTACAAAGACTTCACCAATTTACAAACTTTCTTGTCTTGTCCTGGAGCTACACAACCCTCAGTTTGTTCCATGTAGATTTCTTCTTCGAGATCTCCATTTAGAAAGGTTGTCTTCACATCCATTTGATGAACTTCAAGATTCCGCAGCGCAGCAATCGCTAATATCATCCTTATAGATGTTATTCTCGTCACAAGAGAATACGTGTCAAAGT